GGGAAGGGACTGGAAGGGGAGCAAAGGCTAGTCGGGGCTTCACTAGCCCTCTGAGGCAGAACTGGGACGGGATCCAGGGGCCCTGGATTCGAGCTCAGGCTCTCCCCACCTGAAGGACCCAAAGATCAGGTACCCGACCCTAGCGGCTGTGTCCGAAGCAGGAGAGGCGCGAATGTTGTTGGGCTGTTCACACGTTTGTTTCCCTGACGGGGACAGGGGGGAGAGTGCAGTGAAAACCTACCTACCGGGAAACAGCGTCTTTCAGCAACCACCTCGCCCTCTTCCCAGGCTGTAGCCAATGAAAACTCATTTGAAGGAATATACTCAAAACGCAGGCTGCAGGGAGTGGGGGCACCGGGAAGGGGGCGGAGGGGGCGCTTGGAGCCGCAGAGCCGCGTTCCTCTGGCTGGCAGTTCACACCTGCGACCCCGGGGCAGCTGGAGGAAAGCTGGTAGCTGCGCGGGGTCCGCTGGGCTCAGAGCGCTGGAGGAGAGGGCGGCAAGGCAGGGCTGGACTGGCTGCCTCGGCTCTATGACACGCTGTAGCTGTTGTAGTACGTGGCTGTGGCATCAGCCAGCACGGAGATGAGGCTGGTCTCTGTGGGGCCCGTCGGTGTCACCTGGGAGACCGCGGCATGCCCACTGAGGGCCACGGCCCCTGCGGCAGAGTCCGGGTGGCCAGGAGTGTTCAAATACTGGTCGAACTCATTGCGATCCATGTCCCCCAGGAGTTCCACTTGGCTCAGCTGATCCAGGGCGTCAAAGCCGGGGTGTTCGGGAGGGGGAGAGAGCTGGCCCAGGTGGGCATGGAGGTTGGAGTGGAGAGGATGGTAGGTGGCAGGGGAGTAATAGGCAGGAGATGGAGGACAGCCCGGTACAGCTGACATCATAGAGACGCCCGGGGACTGGCCGAGGGCCAGGGAGCCCAGGGCATGGCCGCAATGGAGGGGGCTGGGGGCGTACTCCGGTGAGAAAGGGGGCCCTTGCAGGTGGGGGATGCGGCGGGAGTGCGCATGCTCCTCCTGGCACGGGGAGGAGAAGAAGGTCTGCTCCGGCTCCAGCACGTCCAGGGGCGACATTTCCGGGGGCGTAGGCAGCCCGTACGGGTAGGTGTCCGCGCTGCCCGGGGTGCCGCCGCCGCCGCCAGCCGGCCCTTCGTGGTAGCAGCCCCGCAGGCTGGGCAGGGTGGCGCCGGGGGAGTACTCACCCCTGTCCTCCTTCTCCCCCGGTGCCCCGCGGCCGCCGGCCCGCTTCTCAGGCAGGGCGTTCTGGTCTCGGGAGAGGGAGCTCAGGAGGAAGCCGGGGTCCACGCGCTTGCAGAGGCGCTTGGCCTGCTTCTTCCTGCGAGGGCGGTACTTGTAGTTGGGGTAGTCCTGCATGTGCTGCAGCCGCAGCCGCTCCGCCTCGTCCACGTAGGGCCTCTTCTGGGACAGCGTCAGCGCCTTCCATGACTTTCCTGCTCACACAAGTCAGAGAAGGCGGCGTTCAGCATCTGCGCTGCTTGGGCCGGCCTTGCCCCGGCTCAGACTCCTGCCTCCAAGCATCCCACACGCACACGCAGTCCGCCTCCCTCCCTCATCCCACCCCACCCGCTGGCCCCCAGCTCTCCAACAAGGACACAACACTGCACTCCCCGCACCCTCTTCCCAGCCAAGATCCTGCCCGCACTATGAGGCCAAGCCACCGCTCCCACCTGCATCCCGCAAAACCATCTCATGCCAACTACAAACACAGTCACATCACCACTCATATCAACGCCACCAGATAACATGAGCATAGAAACCATGCGGGGTTCACAGTGAAAGCCCCACCTGACCCAATGTCAGCCACAACACAAAAACAGGTAACTGCGACAACACTGATTTGGGCTCTTTTTACCCTCGGAGGGCCAGTCCTAATCATTTTAATGAAAACTCTCTGCCTTCATTGATGATCATTGATTATCGCTGCCTCTCAGGAGGTGATACTATAATATTCATTTATGGCCTAAATCTCACCGGCCTTCTTGTGAGGGAACTTGGGCACAGTCAATAGTTTCACAGATGTACGTAAATTACAGGATCTCACTTAGGGTACTAGACAATTGTCCCTTACATCTGAAAGTCAAGTAGGACCCTGCCATATTAAGACCTGACAGTGGCCAAAATGCTAGCATCTGCCTGCAACATGCATGTATGTATCACACACAGGCTTGCACATGCATGCACACACGTGCACACACACAAGCTACGGCTTCCAGCCATCTACTTAGGACCCTCTGACTGTGGCAGGGGCACCTGCTCATCCATTGACACCTCCCTACAGAAGCAAATTCCTTACGTGCCCTGGGTCTCTAGTTTCCTCGCTATAAAATATATTGTGATATTACCCAACTCACAACTCTCTCCTTAAGAAGCATCCCACTCTGGTACCCGCTGGTGCTAAGATGCTGGTTTCACTTGTATTTTCTATTCGTCCTTACTCGCTTGTGTGTTTGGTAAATCGCTCTAGCATCTCTTTCATCTCTCACAGTACACTGTACATCCCTTCGACTGCAGGTTTTCTGCAGGCCGCTTCTGAACCCCTAAACGGTCATCTTCTAGGATGGACTTGGGATTTCACAACTTTGACAAGTTCCCCCATGACCCTAATATATCCTGAAGTTTGAGACCAACTAGCCCAGAGGGCAGGTGGCCCCCAAGCCCTGTAAGGAAAGGGGCCACATCTACCCAAAGCACCCAACACAGGGCTGAGTATGGAGCAGTATGCACGGCCGCCCTCGGTGCCTGTGCTGGCTGGCTCTGCACGCCAGGCCCTCAGAGGAGGCTGGAGAAGGGCGACTATTAAAGGTGTTCTACCATTGGGATGAAAGTTTATAACTATTCTGACAGAATTGACAATTAATGTAATTAGCTGTCACTTAAAAGGGCAACTGGAAAGTGTTAGAAACTCCAGATTTGGGGTTGGTCAAGAGTTCCCAGCCTGCGGGTGAGGCTACAAAGTTGTTGCAAGATGCCCAAGATCCAGACGCACCCCACACCCTGTCTGTGGACTGAGTATAAAATGTGACTCTAGTTTCTAAGTGTACCTGAATGTGGTATCATTAATAAAATATAGGTTCATTTTAAATGCTACTAAATGTATAACTGTCTTTGTGTTCTTTCTTATACATAATACACCAAACAGCCTAGTCCTGCTTGTGAAGTTTTTAATTTAAAGATTGAAAAGCTAGGGGTCAGAAAAGTCGGGACTCTCACCTTCAGCTCTTTCCTTTTCTGGGTGAGAAAGGAAAGGAGTGGGCAAGATCCCAGGGGTGGGAGTAGATTACCCTGCTCCCTATGGAGTAGAAAGTCCGCATTTGAAAAAGCAACACCATGTTAGTTTCTCTTGCCCAGTGCCAGGGGCTGTGTGGTTAAGCAGGAAGGAATCAGTGTCTTTCCTGCAAAACGAACTCTAACCTCTGGCAGCCCAAGTGCAAAGTGCCAACAGGGATCAGCTCACAGGAGGTGTTTGCCACCTCAGTCCCTTCACCTGCCCTTTCCCTGAGCGGGCAGCCTCCATCCTGCAAGGCTTCCCAGCCTGCGTTCTCCCAGCTCGGGCTGGGCCTGCAGCGGAAGCCCACTCTGTCCTGGTCGCTAGAGCTGCGCTCGGGCCACAGGCACAGCGCTCTGGGTCACCAAAAGACATTCAAGGGACCACAAAAAAGAGTTTTCGGTTCTGAAGAAAACCAGAAATTTTTAGGTCAAAGAAAATGTCTGATTATTGTATATATTAATATGTTTCTCCTTATACCAACACAGTATAAAATAGGATTTCTAACATTTTTATGGAGGCAGGTGCTCCCTAAGACAGTGGCGCACGAACGCGTCCTGGGCACTGCGAGCAGAGGCTGTGCCGGTGCGAGGCTCTTTGAAACCAGCTCTCCCCCACCCGCTTTGACAGAGCCGAGACCCCAGGCCGGACCCTCGCCTGCGGCTGAGCCAGCAAAAAGGTGGGCGTCAGCCTCCCTCCGCGGCTCCGACTGGAAGGAGCCCAGAGCGCCAACGGAAAAAGGAAAACGGCTCCGCTCTGGGTCGGGTGGGGTCGGGGAGGGCAGGGCCAGCCTCCGGTGACCACACACTGTCCCTTCTCACAAGGCCCAGAGCCCGCTGAACACACACGGTGCTTTGAAAGGTTTCCACCGGTTAACATGAACGAAAAGACAATCCGCGTGGAAGGGCAGGGAGGTGACAGCAGGGCAGAGCGGGAAAACGCTCAGCTCACGACAAGGGAGAGAACAGAAACCCCGACCCCAACTCCGGGGTTTCGGACGTGCCCGAACAGCCTCTCTCTGGGCGCCTTGGCCTGGCTTGTCCCCGTCCCCAGTCCGGCCACCCCTGCTGGGACTGCGCAGCGGCACTGGGGAAGCAGCGGGCTCCAGGACAGACCCTCACTGGCCGCCCTACGGATCAGAATCAAACTAGCTACAGTCCTGCAATTGAGAAGTAGGATATTGAATAGAGTCTGTTTGCGTAGACTCTTGCTGTTGGTTCGATAATTAAGTTAAAGCGGGGATGCCCTCCCGCAAGGTCTCTCCACGAATATTCGTTAGCAACAGTTAAAACCTCCCTCTGCGATTGTGCCCCTGGTAAACTTCAGGGAAGGATGGGCTTTCCCGCTGCGGTATTCCTCCCGGCAAAAGCCGGTTCCACCCTCCCTCGGCGTTTCCGTCCCGGCCTGTCGGTGCGCGCAGGTTCCCGTCGCCAGGCGACCCGGGCCTGGCCGCTGGGGCCCCAAATTCCGCTCCTGCCCTGGCGAGTGGGCCTCCCGGCCACCCTGGCGGGCCGTGCGGTTTCACTTTGGGCCTCGCCCAGGTGTCCTGCTCTGAACCCGGGCCACCGTGCACACACCTATGTTCGCACAGATGCCCATCCTCGCCGGCACAGCGTGCGCCCCGGCTCCCCGCGCGGACCCGCACGCCAGGCCCACCTCTGCCCGCGCCCCTGGCCCGCCGACCTCGGGGCGCCCCGCCCGCTCACTCACCCAGCATCTTGCTGAGCTCGGCGTTGTGCAGGTCCGGGTTCTGCACCGCCAGACGTTTCCTCTCGTCTTTGGCCCACACCATGAAGGCATTCATGGGCCGCCGGATACGGCTCTCCGAGCCCTTGTCCCCTGGCGGGCGGGGGGCGGCCGGCGGCGACAGCCCGTCCGACAGCTCAGCTTCCAGAGCCGGGCACTCGAGCCCCTCGGGCCACGGGTAAGCTCCCAGCAGCGAGGCCATGGCCGCACAGGGGTCGCCTCGCTTCGCCTCGCCGGGTCGGCGCTGACCTGGCCCTCGCACCGGTCGGGGCGTCCAACTTGACGGGCAGCCGCGGCCCGGCCCCTTATTTATCAGCTTCGGGCGGCCGCGTCCTCCAATGACTCTCGAAGGCGGCGCGGCCCCTCCCTCTGTCTCGGCCCGGGCCCCCTCCCTGCGTCCTGGGCCGCCGCGTCCCCGCTCCGACCTGCGGGAGGGGGTGAGGGGAGGGCCGCTTCCCTGTGCCCGCCCCCGGCCCGCCTCTCCGGCCTCCCGGGTCCCTCCCGGGTGCCCCCCGGGGATCCGCGCCCCGCCGCCCTGGGGCCGCCTCTCGTCCCGCCCGCTCCGGGCGCAGGTGCCGCAGAGCCGGGAGGCGGGCGCCGCTGGCAATCACCTTGCTGGCGAGCGGGAACCGGCCTCCAGCCCCGTCCCGCCTGGCCAGACTCCACCAACGCGCCCCGCGCGTGGAATCCTACGGGGTGCCGAAGCCGACAGGTTTCGCTGGGAATGCCTGGGCGCCGGGAACCTTGACCGTGAATCCCCCAGAGCAGCCCGTGAACCGTCCTTAAGAGGACACCCCTACCATTTTTCTAAAATGCGCCGGGCTTCAGCAACCTCGCCCCCAACCAACTCCAGCGGCCAGACGCCGGCAGGGGCTGGAGCAGGATCCAGCATCGGGTTCTACGCACTGCCCACCCGGGGGCCCCTCAGCGCCCCGTAGCATCTGGCTCTAGGGAGGGCGGGGCCGCGTTCTCAGTTCTCCTTTATTCACTCTGCCATCTGATTTCTCTCTTCTTACACCCCTACCCCCACCCCACCCTAGTCTCCGGTGTCCGGGTCTCAGCTCCCCGGCCCTCCCCCCCACCCCAGCTCTTCTCTCGCGGAATTCCCTTCTCATCGGATTTTCTCTTTTCTCCTCCGACCAGCACTCCTACTGCTCGGAGTGGAGTCGCTCCGGCCCTCCCCTCCCGCGTGCCCTATGGCTTTGACACGACCTGGGAGCTCCTGAGTGCCCCTCATCCTGACTCCCCTGGGTAGAGGGGGCTGCAGGTTCTTCGCCTGCGCTCAGCTCGGAGGGCTGCAAGCTGAGAGCTCACGGCGGTCCCTCGCGGACGAACCCGTGCCTCCAAGGACAGCTCCCGCGTCACCCTGCTTCGGGTGAGTAGGGCTGTTCCTCCGGCTCTTATCAGCGCCGGCACACAGTAGGCGCTTAGGAACTGCCGAATAAGTGAATGAATAAATGAGTGAGTAAATATGGCTTAGACAACCTACTGTATCGAACACGGCCGTCCGAAGACTTGACTAGATCCGGGAATTCAATCTACAAATATTTACTGAGCGCCACCCCTGTGCAGGGCTCCGCAGAGGTGACCCTGAAAGGAGGTAGTATTGTCATGGGGGGACTGGGCTGTCTGGAGTCAGGACCTGTCGTCAGTGTTTGGGTTACTTAATGCGTGACTCTGGGCAAGTCAGCTCTCTCTCTAGGCCTCCTTTCCTAATCCTAAAATGAGATCGATGATAAGGCTGAACTCACAGGGTGGTCGTGAAGATTTGGTGAGATAACATACGTGAAAGCTCAAACTCTGTACGTGATGGTTGATGTGATAAAACTGTAGACATAAAGCCCATTAGTTCTAAGTCTGAGTTTCAAGGTCCCAGAGGTCAGTGACTAGGTTCACACGCGCCTTGTGTGCAACGTGCACTCCCGGACGGCCCCACGGCGGGGCATGTGAATGGAGAAACGCAACTTCGCCGTTTTTAAGTCCTAATTTTAACCTATAGAGTCCCTGGTAATTTTCGTCTGAGGACAGGCTTTCCGCATAAAATAGATTGATTAGTTTTCCTCTCCCCTCCAGCCAGGATCCAGGAGCAGCGCTCTAGGCCCGCACGTTCCACCCGCGGCTCTCGCGGGCCGCTGTCCGGCGCGGGGCGCGGCGCTGGCTGGAAAGCGGGTGCCCCGCAGCCGGGAGAGCATCCTGGAGCCCAAGGTGGAGTGTCGGGGCTGGCTGGCACTGGGGAGATGAGGAGAGAATGTGTCCGCGGTCTAGGAGGACTTCCCTACTCCGGGAAGCCTAAGCCATTTCCTGTGTTGGACCCCTCTGCCAGAAATCCCTCAAGAATCCCCAGGCCAGAATGCTCTGGGAACCGCGGGGAGCTCGGGCCACGCCCGCCAAGGGAGAGCATCTCATTGGTGGGGGCAGGGAGAGGGATCCCTGTACGGGGACTTGGCACAACAATGAAGGGCCCTGAAAGAACCCGACTCCGACCCTTTCTAACCCCACCAGTGCTCCAGAGGCCTCTAGGGGACAGCGCCCCCTTGCCCGCCGCAGACGTCTCCACTCCCGCCTCCGGCCTCTGGCGCCGCCGCTGCGTGGTTCCGGAGCAGAGCGCACACACAGTGCGGCGGCGCCCGAGCACCGGGTTAGGGGGATGCGCGAGCCTGGGGGCGCGCAGAGCGGTCAAGTTGGATTCCAGAGACCGATGGCAAAAATGGAGAAAACGGCGGGGGCGGAGGCAGAGGGAATACGTATTGTGATTGTTGTTTCCAATTGTTTAATTTCTTGCATTTCGTCCAGAAAGAGCGCGCGAGCCTGGGTTGTCCAGGACCTGGGCGCTAATGGCCACATAGCTAGCAGGGGCGTCGCACAAGTGTGTGAGCTGCCTGCACGCGGGAACCTGGGCTCTTCTGCTTGCTCCATTCCTTCTTTTTAAAATTAATTTGCACCCATGCATTGCTTCACCTGGGAAACTTCATTCGAGCTTGCCCTGCTGCGGGCGGCGCTAAGGGACGCGAGGTCGCTGTGACCCTGCTGCTTCTCTGGTCACTGTGACCTTCAGTCCTCCGGAGCTCCGCCTAGACCCCAAGCGTCCCCGAAGCCCTGGGCTCAGGGGGCTGAGCCAAAGGGCCAAGGCTAGTGCTGACCGCGGCATCCCTGACACCTGCTCTGGCCAGCGCCGGGCCCATCACCGCGGCCACTTGTCGGTCCAGAGGCTCATCGGTCCTGAATCTGCAAGCACCGAACGTGGAGACGTAGGGGCTGCGGGGCCAGGTCCCGCGGGTGGTTGCACCTGAGGCAAGGATGGGATGGGGGTTCCTACAGACACGACAGGGGACAAGCAGAGTTGGAGCGGTGGGTCCGCGTGTGATGACTCGGGGGCACAGTGGACACCGCGCGGGCACCACGCAGCTGACCGCACCGCAAACAGACGTGAGCTTAGTCTTCCCGCGTGTATTGCGTGAACTGCGCTGTCGCTCTTTCTTAAATGACTTTTTCTTTCTTTCCTTTTTCTTTTTCCTTTCCTCCTTCCCCACTTCCCTCCCTCCTTCTCCTCCCGTCCCCTCCTTCCCACCACCTCTCTCCCCTGCTTGCCCATCCTCCTCCCTTTTCTTCTCTCCCCCCTCCCTCCCATCTTTTGTCTTTAGCTCTAAAGTTCCCTGAACATCGGTTTCCAGGAACACAGCACTTGATGTCAGAAACCTCCCCTGCGTGTGTCAGTTTGTAAGTTGCTGCAACTGACTAGCAGTGTGATGGTAGTCCATTTACCTGATCTCAGCCTCAGATTCTTCACGGGTAAAATGGGCATAATACAGGATAACTGATATAGTATATGTGAAAGCGCCTCATATGCTTTAAAGAACTGTGAAATGTTATAAAATAAAGAATGGATGAAAATTTTAATAAAATTAATAGGGTTGGGTCTCCAAAACTTTCTCCTGGAGGAACTTTCCTTACGCTATTCCAAACTGAAGAATTTTGGTGAGTCTAGGGGAAGGAGGAGGGGAATTGGCACACATTCCCTGCCCAGACCTGCAGCCCTAGCACCAGAGCTCGGCACCGGGCTGGTGGAGCCTCAGCTCCTGGCCCTTGTGTCTGCAAGTTTTGTGTGTGTTTTGCTGATGCTTTTTGTCCCTCACACCAGGCTAGAGGTCAAAGTTATCATCACCACCGTCATCTTTGCTCACACTGATTTATCTGTACTTGACTGACAGTCTCTGCAAAGGTCACTGACTGGCTCCTCCACACAACCCTCTGTGAAGCAGGCAGCCCAAGTCACAGCACTAAGCTGTCTCCTCGATGAGGCAGGTGAGGGGGCAGCATGCCAGTGGCAGAGCAGAGGCCTGAGTGCACATCTCTTGCACTCATGCCTTTGTCCCCTGGTTCCGGGGCTGCCCCAGGTCAGCGCCCAGTCCTCACCAGGGCCCCAGGCCAGAGAGAAGGTTTTCAACCAGCCTCTGCATCTCCCCCTGCCCTTGTGCCCTCTCCAGTCTGATCTCTCTAAGTTCCATTGGACCTTTCCTCATCCAAAGGGTGCTTGAAGTTCAAGGTAACGTGAAAAGCAAATGGGCCCCGGGTGAGGTGCATGCTGGAAAGCAGGAGCTCTGGCCCCGGCGTGCCGGCAGCCCTCTCCCCACCACTCAAGGCTGGTCCAACAACCAGAAGCTCTGACTTCCCTCTCAGAGGCTGCACTCAGAGTTCCTCTCTTTTAACCCCAGAAATCTCTTCATAGTCATTTAGGAGAAATTCACCAAGGTCCCTAATTTGGGGGGTTATTAAACCACACAGCAGGGGTTTAAGATGTAGGCTTACCCGAGTGGACTGGAGGCAAGCAGGACACAAGGACACCTGCACAGAGTTTCTTATGAGGATCTTACGTTTAACAGCTTTTCTACAGGGGACTAGGGGAAAAGAAATAGGGTTTTCAGACTACATTGTTCCTGAATGTGGGTAGTGTGGACTCCCTGACAACATCAAAACCCTTCTGTAAGAGGGACTTAGTAACAAAACATTGGAATACAGAACCCAAGTTTTCTTGGGACTGCCCAGAGCCGACTTCTCGGTCACTGCAGAATCCCCCTCTACACTTGTACGCTCGCCTCTGGTTAATCCTGTCTCACAATGGATGGTGGGAAGAACCCTGACTTGGAGCCAGAAGACACAGTCCAGTCCCATCCGCCGTAATGGCTATGCACCACGGAGCACGTCACTTAGCCACTGCCCTGGGTGGAGAGCCTCGTGAGGCAAGCGAGACGAAGGACGTGTCCGTGTTGTGTGCATCTCGAGGGCAGCACCGAGGTGAGCAAATGCTCCTTCTGGGATCTGTGTCTGCGTCTCCCTAGCACTGAGGCCCAGGAGAGTTCCGAGTCAAGAACAAACCTTCTCAACCTTAATTTCTCTCACTCCACTCTGCGCAGTGATCAGTTTTCCTTCTGTAAGGGCGTATGTGCACTGAAATGATCTTTATTTAGCTGGTCAGAAGCTAAACTTTCAGAAAATTTAGATGGAAAAAAACAGCAAATTACAAGAAAGAACTAACAGTTGGTTCAAGGGGTATGTTTCTATCTCTTTATCCTATTGTCTCTTTCCAAATGCCTAAGGGGAGGAAGGGAAACTGACTAGAAACTACCCATAAATAATACAAAATGGAAACTAGGTCTTTTCTTAGGCTGTCTGTACACATGTCTGATTTCTGGGGAGACAGTGTCAGGGTAATGACTGACAGCCTGAGGTAGCACTGATGGAGATCTGATCATGCGGTGCTTTGTCACCAGCCGACAACTCTGGTGTCAGAAGCCGACGACACTTCATATTTGTTTAGTTTGTGAGATTGCTTTAATGGATGGGCTTCAAACTACCATTACTTTGTGTTTTGTTTTTTAATACACTGTTCATTGAAGTACAGCGCGTCTACAGAACAGTGCACAGATGGGGCGTGCTGCCTGGGATGTCACAGAGTGCCCACAGCTGCATAAGCTGGGCTCACGTCACGAAGCAGTGTGACCAGCCCTACCACTTCACGGCTCCCTGTCAGCTCTAAACTGTAAGTTCCCTTAGGGCAGGGACCCAGGATCATTCTGGTTTAAAATATAGTATAGTCATAGAAAATTTGAGGTACAGTAAGGCCAACAGATCAGGAGACGATTGCCATTGCAAAGCTAATTATTCCCAGTTCCCGAGAGGGGCACACCATGCTATGGGGCCACATGGGGAAGCACTGGGAGGGGGAAACTGCGCGCAAGACCTTTACTGTAGTTTCCTTGGGAAGGAACGGGCGGGGCAGGGGAAGCAAGCCTAGGATCAGCTAGTCTGAATATTTTGGCCGGGCTCTGGGGCACAGGGGCTGTCCCTAGTTGTCTGGTATCTGGCCCTGGGGTGATTAGGACAGGTGGATAGTGGCCCTGAGAGCAAGAACCCATTAAAGGAGGTGTATGGGCTACAGGTTTGTACATGAAAAGTATACTAGCAGGGGAATTGTTTACTATCTCTCGGAATTGGCAAGTCCTGGGAGGGGCAGGCCTTCCAGGGTTGGCGAGGCCCCAGATGTTAAAGCATCAAATACAGACAATAAAAGACATGGTTCATACGCTCATCTTTGACACTCCAGAACCTAAAATAACGTGTTGCACATAACGGGCACTCTGTGAAAGGGGAGAGAGGGAAGGAAAGAAGGCAGGAAGGGAGGGAGGGCAGAGGAAACAGTGGACAGTAGGCTGGCTAGTTGGTCAACGAGAGAACTGTCTTCAGTAGCCTCACTTCCCTGCCCACAGCAACTTGTGTGAAGAGACTCCATTCAACAGCTCCTGATTGATACTCAGAAAGTTGGGCTGTCTCAGCAGTCTTAGATGTCCCTTATGAAGACTTCATTGGAAAACACGTCCCTCATGCAACATATCCACTTAGACTGCCTGACTAAATTGGTCCTTGAACCACCCTGCCTTTCTGCTAGCAGCTGACAGTGATCTGGGACGGGATCTGCTCCAGCGACCTACTGCTGTGTAATAAACCACCCCAAACTTAGTAGTGCAAACCACCGCTGTTATTATACCCAGTGATTCTGTGGGCCAGGAATTTGGATAGTGTACACCGAGGATGTCTGCTTCGTGATGTCTGAGGTCTCAGCTGGAAGGATGTGAACAACTGGAAGTAACTTAAATGGTCAGGAGCTGGAACCATCTGGAAGCTTCTTCACCCATATGTCTGGCACCAGAGCTGGGATGACTCAAAGGCTGAGCTAAGCTAGGACTGTTAACCAAAGTGTCTGTCCACGGCTTTTCCATATTGTTTTGGCTTCCTTTTAGCATGATGGCCTCAGAGTAGATGGACTTCTTACACGTCAGCTCGGCTCCAAGGATGAGTGTTTCCACAAGCAAGGCAAACGCTGCATGGTATTTTATGACATAGGCTCAGAAGTCACATGGCATCACCCCTGACCAATAACACTCTATTAGTCAAAGCAGTAACAAGCCTGGCCAGATTTAAGGGGAGGAACATGGATCCCCAGTTCTCTGTGTCCAGGAGACAGTGCTCTGAGTTCAGGGAGGACAAAACAAAGAAGAGGAAGCTGCAAAGAGGGAAAGCCTCAGAGATTTGCAGAAGGGTCTGCTTGAACCTTTGGCTGAGGTCTCCTCTGCACATGTGTGAGAGAAAAATACTAAGGCTGTGGAAAAAAAACACTGGAGAAAAGGAGGTGGAATATGGGGAGTGTCAAAGAATTGTGGCCATGTTTTAAAAGCACCGCAGGGTGTGTGTATGTGTGAGACGGTGGTGGTGAGAACACCTGAGGTTTAAAACTGGCAAGTAACTAAGTAACTCATAACAAGACTCCCTCCCTCCCCGAGGCCAGCGTCAAGGCAAAGAAGCGTGTCAGCCTCTTCAGTACGCCTTCCTCCTACCCATGTTACACAATGCCAGTCCTTCAAGAGGTTTTTCAAAGCTTCCCCAAAGGAAATAATAGAAATAGGGTAATAGCAATTTCATCTTTAAGATAGAGAATGCTGAGACACAAGGTATGTTTAGGCCATAAAACAATTTAAAGGATGAAACTAGGTCTGGATATTGAAGTTGCATTTGAAAAAAACTTAACGAGTTATGGATCCCCATTTGGAACCGGAATTTGTAGAGTTTTATTGGAGGGGATGGTTGGGGGTATTTTGAGAAGAATTTAAGTGCAGGTAGGGAAAACGGTTCCTAATCTTCTTCAACTGGCTTCTAGCCACAGTCATGCCCTCACTCTGACACTGGATCTAGTCAACACGTGTTTGGAGCAGTATGGATCGCAGTCTTGTTTACTTGTATAAACAGGTATTTTTACCTGTTTACTCAAAGGATAATTTAAGGTGCTCTTACAAATCACATCTCATTTCATTTTCAAACATCCTAAAAGGGAAGCAAGGAAGGTTTATTATTATTACCTAGTTTTGCAGATAAGGAGCTAAGGTTCATAGAAATTAAATGACAGCTAGTGAGTGGCAGAACTAGTAAAATGACTCAGTCCAAGGTTCTCTCAGTGACGCTCATTCATTGCTTAATTCTCCACAAGATGTAGAGCTCGAATGAAATGAGGCGGGATGCAAACAAACAATGTCACACGTAAGAAAGTAAACTTCAAATTACAGACTTCCACTTCTGCCCATGTTGGAGTAACAGGGATCGTGTTTATTCTCCCACCTTAAGCCACTACAAAACTATATAAAATGTATGAAACGAGTTTTCAGACATTGTACACAGATGGTGTGGGACAATAATCCTGGAAAAGACAAACAAACAAGGTGAATGCAATCAGTTCCCCTGCTCACTGTCTGGAGGAGGTTTCCAGGCCACAGCACAGGGAAGGGAACCCAAAACAGAGACCAGTGGTTTTGCTGTGTCCAGGAGACAGTACTCTGAGTTCAGGGAGGACAAAGCAAAGAAGAGGAAGCTGCAAAGAGGGAAAGCCTCAGAGATTTGCAGAAGGGTCTGCTTGAACCTTTGGCTGAGGACTCATCTGCACATGTGTGAGAGGAAAATACTAAGGCTGTGGAAAAAAACACTGGAGAAAAGGAGGTGGAACGATCTCCCAGGTTCACACAGGGCCAGAAATCTTCTGTTCCCACCAGCCAGGGTGGAAAGACCTCCCAATACACAGGGCATCAGGTAGTGTCCAGAAGAGTATTGCTTCACGGAAAAAAAACGAGGAAAATACAACCATAACCAATATGCAAACCAGTCAATAGAAATAGAAGCAGAAGTGATAATGGAACTAGTAGATAAGGATGTTAAAAGATCAATTTTAAATATCCTCCATATGTTCAAGAAGGTAGAGGAAAACAAGAATATGATGGAGAGAGAAAGAAACATCTAAGAAAGACCCCAATCAAAATTTTCAAGATAAAATATACAATATTTGGAATATAAAATACACTAGCTAAGATTAACATCAGATTAAACATTACATAAGAAAACATTAGTGAACATGACATAAACTATCCACAATGAAAAGTAGAGAGGAAAAGGACAGAAAATAAATAGAGAAGTGACAACCTGTGAGACAAGATTAAGTGACCTGTCTTAAAAGTAATTGAAGTCCCAGAAGGGAAAGAGAACTTAGAACATGCATTTGAAAAAATAATGGCTGAAAAATTTATAAAGTTAATGGAAACTGTAAACCCACTGACTCAAAATGCACAACAATGCACAAGCAGAAGAAGCACAAAGAAACCACGTGAAAGCACATCATCGTCAAATTTCTGAAAACCTTCAAAGCAACCAGAGGAAAAAGGACACATTACATCCAGAGGAACAAAGATGAGAATCACAGTAGACTTTGTGCTTGAAACCATGCAATCCAGGAGACAACAGAATAGCATTTTTAAAGTCCTGAAAGAAAAATCTTAAAACTGTCAACCTAGAATCTATACCCAGTCAAAATATCTTTTAAAATGAAGGCAAAATAAAGACTTTTCAAATATAAAATAGCTTAGTGAAGTCATTCTCAGCAGACCAGCACAATGAAAAATGTGGAAAGAAGTCCTTCAGGCAAAGGAAGGTGATAGCAGATGGAAACTTGGATCCCCATAAAGGAAAGGTAATATATGGGTAAATACAAAAGATTTTTTTTCCTATTTTTAAAACCTCTTTGAAAGATAATTGGTTGTTTAAAGCAAAAATAATAACAGTGTATTATGGCATGTATAACATATATAGAAGTAAAATGTTATGACAATAGCATAAAGACCATGAGGAGAGAAATGAAACTATAGTGTAAGGTTCTTGTTCTATATGTGAAGTGATGTTACATTATTTAACAGTAAAATGTGATGAGTTTAAGATAAATATTGTAAATTAAGATATATATAGTAACCACTTTTTTAAAAAAAGTGGTAATAGACGATCAATGTAGATAAAATTACATCCTCAAAAATTCAGTTAACCCGGGGCCAGCCTGGTGGTGCAGCAGTTAAGTTTGCACGTTCCGCTTCTCGGCGGCCCGGAGTTCACTGGTTTGGATCCCAGGTGTGGACATGGCACCGCTTGGTGCACCATGCTGTGGTAGGCGTCCCACATATAAAGTAGAGGAAGATGGGCACGGATGTTAGCTCCGGGCGAATCTTCCTCAAAAAAAATTCAGTTAATCCAATTTATCCATGCCAGGAAAAGGGGAAAATAGAAACAAAGAACAAATGGGACAAATAGAAAACAAATAGTAAAGATTAAACAGTTAGATTAAAACTCAACCATATCAATGATCACTTTAAGCGTTTATGGCCTAAACACTTCATTTAAAAGGCAGAGATTGTCAGATTGGATAAAGAAGTAGACTCAACTATATGGCACCTGTAAGAAATCCACTTTAAACACAAAGGCACAGGTAGACTAAAAGTAAAAGGAGGGAGGGGCCGGCCCAGCAGCGTAGTGGTTAAGTTCATGCACTCCAGGTTGGCAGCCCAGGGTTCATGGGTTGAGATCCTGGGCATGGACCTACACACCACCCATCAAGCCATGCTATGGTGGCATCCCACATATAAAAAGTAGAGGAAGATTGGCACAGATGTTAGCCCAGGGACAATCCTCCTCAAGCAAAAAGAGGAAGATCGGCACAGATGTTAGCTCAGGGTGAATCTTCCTACCCAGAAAAAAAAGTAAAAGGTTGGGAGCTCTTGTTTCCAGTCTGGCATGTAAGGAACTGGGAAGTCATCAATCCCATTCTAACAACAAGAAAAAAATGAACTGAAAATCAACAACTCTTCTTAGATCCATCAGAGAATTGAGGTCACAGAGTATGAGAGAATAGAAAATATATTTGGTGGTCTCTGCCCCTGGGTCCTGGCACAGAGCTCCTGAGCCCTGTGATATTTCCTAAGTGACAAGAGCACTAGGAGAATCTTTTGTTCTAATATTTGCCTTTACCCCATCCCTGACGCAGGGCTCCTATAACCCTCGTAAATTCCTAAGTGATAGAACTCTAGGAACATCTTGTGTTCTGTTGAGGTGACTCTGGGGGTGCTCCTGGATGGGGTTGATCACCAGAAGGACCAAGCATGATTAGCAGCTTGGAACTTTCAGCCCCACTCTTCAACGTCTACAGAGAGGAGAGGTGCTGGAAATGGAGGTAATCGTTGATGATGCCCACATGGGGAAGCCACCACAAAATCCCAGAAGTACAGTGTTCAGAGAGCTTCCAGGTGGGTGAACACATCCACACTGGGAGGATGATGCACCCTGACTCCATGGGGGCAGAAGCTCCTGTACTCAGGACCTTCCCAGACCTCGCCCTGTGTATCTCTTCATCTGGCTGTTCATCTGTATCCTTTATCACATCCTTTAATAAACTGGAAAATGTAAGTAAGAGTTTTCCTGAGTTCTGCAAGTACTCTAGCAAATTAATCGAACCCAAGGAGGGGGTCACTGGAACCTCTGATCTATAATTACTTAGTCAGAAACACAGGGCTTACAACTGGCATCTGAAGAGAGAGAGAGAGAGAGAGTGTGTGTGTGTGTGTGTGTGTGTTTGTGTGTGCACGCGCGTGCTAGGGGGCAGCCTTGTGGGACCGAGCCCTTAACCTGTGGGATCTGACTCTATCTCTGGGTAGATTGTGCCAGAATTGAGTTAAATGGTAGGACATTCGAGTGGTGTTGCAGAGAATTGCTTGGTGTGGGGAAAAACTCCACACAATTGATGACCAGAAGTGAAGTGTTTCATGTGAGTACTAAAGGAGACTCACAGGGAAGAAATAAACAGTAGGGAAGAACTGGGTTTTTTTCCCTATACAAAAAGAGAAAAATTGAAGTTCTTCCAAAGGACAGGGAAAACTGATGCCCCCAAGATTGGAGAGACAGATAGATGGATACAGAGAATCACAACTTACCAGAGCAGCAACCCATAAGGAGAAACCTTTGCAGGAACAGTACCAGGTTCTTGCTTTCAACAGAAAAATTACATGTCCAGCTTTCAACAAAAAAATTACAAGGCGTACTAAAGGCAAAGAACACAGTTTAAAGAGACAGAGCAAATAGCAGAGCCAAACTCTGATATGAAAAGGATGTTGGAATTATCAGACCGGGAACTTAAAATAATTATGATTAATGTGCTAAAGTCCTCTAGTTGAAAAAGTAGACAACATACAAGAATAGATAGGTAATGTAAGCAGAGAGATGTAAATCCTAAGAACGAATCAAAAAGAAATGCTTGAAATCAAAAGCACTGTAACAGAGGTGGAGATTGCCTTTTGTAGGTTCATTGGTAGACTGGACACAGCTGAGCAAAGAAACAGTATGCTTGAGGATATGTCAATAGAAACTTCCCAAACTGAGAAGCAAAGAAAAAAAAGGCAAAATAAATTAGAACAGAATATTCAAGAACTGTGGGACAACTACAAAAGGTATAGCATACGTATAACGGGAATTATCCCACATACCAGAAGGAAAAGACAGAGAAAAGAACAGAAGAAATATTTGAAGCAATAATGACAGAATTTCCCAAACCACATATTCAGGAAACTCAGAGAACACTAGGGAGAAAAACTGCCTGGTGTTTTACACCCAGGCATATCATATTCGAACTGCAGAAAATCAAAGACAAAGAAAAGTCCTGAGAGAAGCCAGAGGAAAAAACATCTTACCTACAGAGGAGCAAGGATAAGAATTACATTCAACTTCTCTTCAGAAATCATCCAAGCAAGAAGAGAGCAGAGTGAACTGTCCAGTTTCTTCACATCCTTGAAACTTGAAACTTTGGGGGGTTTTGTTTTGTTTTGTTTTTTATAATAGCCATCCCAGTGGGTGAGCAATGGTATCATATAGTTTTAATTTGCATTTCTCTAATGACTAGTGATGTTGGGCATCTTTTCATGTGCTTATTGCCCATTTGTATATCTTCTTCAGAGAAATGTATATTCAAGTCCTTTGGGCAATTTTTGTGTGTGTGTGTGTGTGAGGAAGATTGGCCTTGAGCTAACATCTGTTGCCCATCTTCCTCTTTTTGCTTGAGGAAGATTGTCCCTGAGCTAAAAACCATGCCAATCTTTCTCTATTTCCTATGTGGGATGCCACCACAGCACGGCTTGATGAGCAGTGTGTAGGTCTGTGCCTGGGATCTGAATCCATGAATCCTGGGCTGCCGCAGCAGAATCCACAAACATAATCAGTACACCACCAGGGTGACCCCAGGCAATTCTTAATAGAATTCTGTTTTGCTGTTGAGTTGTAGGAGTTCTCTGTATATTCTGGATATCAATCCATTATCAGATATACGGTTTGCAAATATTTTCTCCCATTCCATGGATTGCGTTTTCCCTCTGTTGATAATGTTCTTTGATGCACAAAAAAATTTGATCTTGATGAAGTGCAACTTACCTCTTTTCTCTTTGTTGCTCATGCTTTTGGTGTCGTATCCATGAAATCATTGTCAAATCCAATGTCGTGACTTTTGCCCCTATGTTTTCTTCTAAGAGTTTTTTAGTTTTAGGCACTACATTTAGGTCTTTGGTGCATTTTGTTAATTTTTGTATATTGTATAAGGCAAGGGTCCAGCTTTGTTTTTCACGTGTGGATATCCAGTTTCTCCAACAGCATTTATTGAAAAAACTGTCTTATCCTCATTTAATTGTCTTGGAACCCTTGTTGAAAATCATTTGGTCATATATATGAGGGTTTATTTTTGTGGTCTCTATTTATTCCATTGATTTATATGTCTGTCTTTATGCCACTACCACACTGTTTTGATTACTATAACTTTGTAGTAAGTTTTGAAATCAGGAAGTATGAGACTTCCAATTTTGTTTTTTTTCAAGATTATTTTGACTATTTGAGGTCCTTTGAGATTCCATATAAATTTTAGTATGGGGGCCTGCCTGGTGGCGCAGTGGTTAAGGTCGCACAATCCGCTTCAGTGGCCTGGGGTTCACTGGTTTGGATCCCAGGTGTGGACTTAGTACCGCTTGTCAAGTCATGCTGTGGCAGGTGTCCCACATATAAAGTAGAGGAAAATGGGCACAGGGCCAGTCTTCCTCAGCAAAAAGAGGAGGATTGGTGGCAGATGTTAGCTCAGGGCTAACCTTCCTCCAAAAAAAAAAATT